ATGCATCTGATATGTCACACTTGACTTATCGCGAGTAAGAAATATCGGAAATAAGAATAGAAAGTCGTTTTTCAAACACCCACGCTATAACCGATACCTACTGTACATTGTACAATCATCAGTCATGTTACTTGTACAGTACATCCTTGCCCAATTTTTATTGGAGCATATCATGCTGTTCTTCATCATGTTTTGGCTGCTCACTGACAACAGGTACTGGCACCTCCGCGTGGGGCGGAAAGTCAGTCTGCTCCGAACTGGACTGGCAACGACTTGATCACTCCCGCTGTTTCCTGTTGGAACAGGAATTGCGCCGTCGCAAGAACGCTTTGTAAAAATCCATCAAGGCTCTGCTGGCCAGAGCTTGTCTTCTTTGGTCCATGGATGTCGCTGAGACTTCGCAGAAAAGTCTTCAAGTCAACCAATTCGCGATTCGAATCTGGAGGGGATCATCCTCCAAACATCGTTGTACAACGTTGCGAAAAGAGGCGCTTGACGATCACAAGCTTTGTTTTTGTCCCACTTGGGCAGCGCTGCGTTCAGCACATCACTGCACGCCTTTCTCAAGACGCATCGAGCGTGTCCTGGAATCTGTACAAAAGTATAGAGCTCGTACAGAGTCGATCATTTCTTTCACAGTGCAATCAATGCCGCTCACACACCGACGGTCTGTGCAACCGGTTTTGGACGCTGCTTCCCACCGCGTAGAGTCTACCGCCTGTGCACATGGTGCATGTAGCAGCCTGGTGTTTTTTCAAACCCAGGTCGAAATGTTTTGAAGGGGGTGGGAGCAAGGAGGTGCACCTCACGTGACTCACGTGACACCTAGTCACTGCATAGTTCAACCAATCAAATGTACGACACGCTGTAATGTTTACTGTAGACACACAGTACATCTAAATTTAGGGTTCACGGATTGGCATGCTAGCGTCGCCAGCTACATCATCCACGTGACAGGCGCGTGCATATACTGTACCACACAATCGGTCAGTGCGTAAATCGCATTTTCCCATCAATATCACTCACTTTCAACTCTACGGGATTCATTACGGTTGGCTCAAACTGCCTGAATTTTTGAATCCACACGCACGAAAGACGTTCCAAGACTTCCACCGTTCGTATTTTTTCAAACGAGTTCCGGGTTTTCCAGTAACTTTGGCCAAAGTTCGGCTAAAAAAACAGGGGGAGCCGTTGCGTTTCCGCAAAATATTGAACGGTAAAAGGATAGCCAAGGTCGAGAGCAAAACAACAAGCCATTATTTGTCAAAATCGAACAAGAAACGGCTCAGCGCATCTATTTTCTGTGCACGCGCGCGCGCGTACTTTGGCCAACAAGGTGTGCAGAATTTCTGAAGAATAATAATAACAAGAGCAGCAGCGCTCGGAACAGCCGTGCTGGATACTTCCAATCCCGACACGATGGAGCGTGTTGGCTGTCGTGAGCTGCTGAAACGACCATGACATTTCTCTTTCTTTGTATACCCTACATATCTTGATGTGCCCTTGCTCAGTTTCGGCCTCTTTACAGGAAGAATATTTTCTTCCTTGGCATCAGCGGCCAAACAGCAAGAAGAGCAACAGATCGAGATTTGCAGGGAAAACAAAGATGCGTGCAGCTACATCTAGTCAGGTTCGATGCAGCTGCGCTTTGCCAGAACCTCAGCAGATAAGAAAAGACGACAGAGTGTCTCAGATGGAACTGGATCTTTCGCCAAGACCGCCACCGCCGCCATCATCAAGTCCAGGTAAGTCAGAAAAACCAAAGCAAAAATGCAAAGCCCGAGTGAAGTGAAGCCACTGAACTCTGAAGCCAAGGAAAAATTCAAAAAGTACGCTCTCCGGCTAGACTTAGAGTTGATATTTTTTACTTCGATAGGCGCTGTCGCGGCCTGTAGCGCGCGTCCATAAACCAAAATGGAGGCGCACGTGACGGGAGCTTTTAGTGGCAAGCCGTGAACCCTAAAATTCAGTCACTCACAGTCAAGTCTACTGTACATACCTTCGCACTCTCGTGATCCACCAGCAACTGCACACATCCCTCATAATTCCTTTCCCTGGCTAGGTCCAACGCTGTGCTCCCATCCTGAGTAACTCAGCAACACATCACAGGAACAACAGAAAATCAATTTTGAGAAAATTCGTTCCAATTTTACAAAAACGAAAACACAACGAAGGCCAAGGACATAATCTACAACGAGACGAAATCAATCTCTCCACAAGACGACTTACATGTACAGAACAAGTCTCTCCTTCCTCAGCAACATTGCTACTCCATGCATCCACAGCAAAAACTCCAGGTCATACCTCGACAAATTTGAATTTTTTTACAGATTTCTACTCGAGTGAAAATATCCACGACGAGAGGAAGGCGTCCACAGCGCCTGCTCCACGTCAGGAACAACTGCATGTCTTCTGCGTACTCGTTACAATAACAACAACCCTTCACTCCTCACTCGTTCCAACAAACACCATCAAACAGTCTTCTACTCCTTCACACACT